AGTCATTTCATTCATAAGTCTTTTTAAACAAATGGCTTACATCTCTCTGTGGATGCTGACTTTATAAAAACTGGAAGCCCTTACCCTGTTGTCTTGTGCATACTGAACAATAATGGTTTTGAACTGTATATAATTCAAATGTGTCAACAAACTTCATGCCAAACAAAGTCAAAAATTAAAGCTATTTTGTGGTGCACAATTCAAAAAAGTTTTAGCACTGCTGTCAGAATAAAACTTTGTATATAACCTTCTTTACTTTTAATGTAAGCCAATGGAACCAGACTTTTTTCCAAGTAATTGGTCAATTCATCATAAAAAGGCATTTTCAAATGATGTCAAAAACTGAAATATGGAGATACAAGGTTTTGTTCTGACAGCAGCGATACGCTTATTGGTGGCTCTGAGGGGTCACAGGGGTGTTTGGTGAGGTTGAGTGAGGCCAGTTTGTCTATCAGCTTTCAAAACGTCTGAGTCTGCATTCGACCTCACTCTCCATCATCCTCCTCCTCACCCACAAACACTCTCACCCCACAGTGTAGTGACGGAGGTCACGTGTCCAACACACCTTTCATTCCATAAGTTTCACTTCAGACTAATTCACACATTCAATCACCTGAGCCAGTTCTGCTCATATGGTAGACTGCTGTAAAATTCCTCTCCTTTAGCTGAATCTTTGACTGTTTTTTTCACTCTTAGTAATGGAAGCTGTAATGGAAGTGGCCTGGTGGTTCCACTGGTGCGAGAGTGCAGCTAAAATGCCGCCATAAACACCCACACACATGTCAGCGGTCACTGCTAACAGCTCTGAGTCAAGCCTGTCAATTATTGCATGAATACATTATCTCTCAGTAGTGGTTGGGCTGGATGTTATTACTGACTGGTGCGCTGTGACGACACGCCGCTGAAGTGAGGCAGGGAAAGAGACCTGCATTCACCGCTCAAGTTGGAATTACTGTAATGTAAAACCAATTAAGTTGCAGATACATTTATAAAGTGATTCTAATGCAATGCTAGTAATGTGCAGCTTCACAGGTTTCAAATAATTAGTAGGAAGATATTAAAAATTAAGAATTTTATGTGAATGTGCTCAGAATGATGAAGAGAGCTGCATATGATTCTAAAATTACAGAGAAACATTGAGAATTAAGTTATTATACAATTAATATCCAGAATCGCTCGTATCAACTGGGGGGCAGAAAACTTTTAACTACGAATATATAATAAAGGCACATTACTTATCTTTTAATAACTTCTTGCTTTCTTAAAAAACTTTCAATGTTGAATAAAGTATGTAAAAACTACATTGTGTAAGTTACTGTTGAAGAATATTATTAATGCTTTTAATATTACATGTGGTTACAAATATGTACATGTGTAGGCTTTTTACAATTATAATCATCATAATCACTTGATCGCAGTTATTTGAGCTGATCACAATCATTTCAGCTGACCGCAATTATTTTCCACAGTTGTTCACTTTCACAATCATAGGATTATGTTGCAACAAACTGAATGTGGATTAGATACATTTCAACACTTGAGTTGAGGCAAACACATGTAAACAAAAGAAAGCAGAAACACAATTACTGAGACCTGTCATGCAAAAGTTCTATCATCTGACCTCTAAAGGGCAACGATGAGTTATGTTTGTTTATTTGAGCTCAAGCTGTCTGTCATCAGTTGTAAAGTGTGGACAGCTAGGAAGGGAGAGTTTATCAGTCAGTTTGGCCACTTTAGGCTTGTGCTTTAATAGATGCAAACAACAAAAATAAGACAATTCTACAGAGCCCCGCTGGTGACATCCTGTATAAATGAAAATAATGCGTGGCCATGATTTAATAGGCATCTTATTTAATGTGATTGTCATGCTTGTTGTGTTTAAACACTGCAAGTATTGTAGCAATACTTGATACTCATTTCATTGTTGACTTTAGTTTGTGAAAAATAATGCTAATGTGTTGCAAAGACTTAGTAAGGCATAATCTCGTTCCCACGCCTTACTAAGTCTTTGCAACACATTAGCATTATTTTTCTTTACATGGGATGTCACCAGAAGGGCTCCATACAATTTTTGTGCAGAACACAAAACACAAACAAAAGTCAACAATGAAATGAGTATCAAGTATTGCTACAATACTTGCAGTGTTTAAACACAACAAGCATGACGATCACATTAAATAAGAAAATAGACTATAAATGACAGATGTGCATTTCTGTGAAGGCCCAAAAGGCCCTGAGGGTTCCCCAATGTGCAATATATTTAAACCCATGTTGCATGTTTTACTGTCAGTGTTGAGCAGTGTGTAAGAATGTGAGTTTAACTGTTCTTTGTGTGTACGTGGAGGTGCTGATGTGACTCTCTGGGTCCTCACGTTTACACGCTGATTATAACACTTAGGAGCCAACGGGTCTTCACTTAGAGCAAACACAGATGGACATCTACTGAAGGACAGCACACCCACACACATTCTCTCACACCACATACACTCTCACACCACACACACTCTTTCAGTGTGTCTGTGATTAAGAAGAAATTTCTCCTCTTTATGGTCTCATAAAGCTCCCAGTGCAAACATGTTTACAGCTGCAGCAGTAATTGAGTCTTTGTTTACTGCTTATTCTACAGAATTACAGCACTCATCAGCACTTACACACCACTAATCAGCCTTCACAAGATACACGCGGGACGTCTTTATGATCCAGGTAGAGACGAGGAAACACACATACACACACAAATGCATCCTCACACAGTTAGCAGCACACTTACACTTAAAGCCAATGGGTTTTAAGATGCTTTTGCTTCCATCACGTTCATTGCGTATAAACAATCACACGGCCAAGAAAACTCAATAAATGAAGGTTTTTGATTTCATTTTTAAAAAGTTCCTGTCAACAGTGCAATCAGAGCTTCAAAACACATTTTATCAGGTTACTGACTATCAGCATATGAATCTAAAGCTCAGTCTGAAAATTTAAAGTGGCAGCACATCTACATCAGCCCTTTCCTTCAGCTTTATCACTGTCACCGCTTTGTTGTTGTAAAAGCACGCATTGCTGCTTTGATGAATGAGGAGAAGTGTTAAGATTTGACAAGTATTAAAATGAAATGTTAAAGCCAAAAAGTGCATGAGGGCAAAAGAAGGTAGCGATTGTGGTTTTACTGCTGAGTCTTAAAGCGAGTGGTGTTTTGTGCCTGCTCAGGAGCAGTGTCAGAATCTGCATCATTTTGAAGAAAACTGAAGTATGAGCTATATTAGAAGCTGCTGCTGTCAGATCAACTATCAGAACATACACAGACACTCTCAGAAAAAAGGTATGAATCTGTCACTGGGGCAGTACCCCTCTTGTCACTGGGGTGGTACCCTCAAAGGTACATCTCAGTACCTTTAGTCAGGGAACATTATTGTACCATAATCCATAGAAATTATATTTTGCAAGTTGTATTGACTCCACACACCCCGTCTCGTCTCCAGGCTTTTTATTTTATGGTTCTGTTTCGAAACATTAGGTTAGGAAAAGGTACAAATATATAATTTTCCACTGGGAAAAACTTATTTAAGGTTTACAACTGGACCTTAAAACCACTGTTGTACCTTTGAGGGCACATTTACATTGTTTGTACCTTGATGGATGAAAAATGTACCTGCACAGAACAGTGTACCTATATTCTTGTGGCTTTTCACAACTGATTTCTCAGTTAGCCATGCAACTTAACCCCCTGAAGGGCCCATATTATGGAACACCTCATTTTCAGTTTGATGTAGTATGTAAACTTTGTTGAAGTTTCAAAATGTACCGTTCACTCCCCAGTCCATACAGCCCATATATGTAAAACTAAGCTGTAAAAACAGCCCAAATTGAATTGTGTTTTCATGATGTCATGAAAACCAACATATTTACATATATCCACCTTCTCAGTATACAGTAGTTTAGCTCCGCCCATGCACACTGAAGTTCTAAGGAATGTTTCAATCCTGTTTTTTGAATAAGGCAGGGCAGCCAATGAGAAGAGAGCTCATTTACATATATTAGTCTCAAAGGCACATGAATCAACGCAGCCTGTTTCATTCTAAGGAATAAAGAGAGGTTGGAAAGTGGTCATATAAGAATGAACTATGGCTGTGTTTGCTGCATAAAAGCACACAAATGTTAAAAGTTGACCTCAAGGGGGAAAACAAAACAAGAGAAATGTAGGCTATGGGCCCTTAAATCTCCAGGCTTTGAATTCTCACATCTGTGAGATAAAAATAACTGCACTGTTTTACAGGAATGTACTGAATAATAAGGCATAAAATATGATAAGCCTGGGAATTTAAGACCCAATTCAAGACTGTCCAATACAAAAGATAATAGGGATTAACATTAGTCCACTCTTTGGGCTTACGTTATCCAGCTTACTGAGAAATACACTTTCTAATAACAGAATTTGTTTTCAGTCTGCTTGTTATATCTAACACAGCAAACAATGTTCACACTGAGTACAGAAACGCAGCGTTGGAGCGCTTGAACTGTTTAGCAGAACCACACCAAGCCAGCTGCAGCTCATGTCAGACTTCTATGAGGTGCTAACCCAATAATACACTTTAACAGCATTATGTGAACACTCAATGTGCGCTCACTGACCATCTGCAACCACGCAGCCCGGCTTTAATGAAGTCCAGATAGCTGACGCTCAAGCTTATTTTGCGCTATGCGGTCATCTCTCGCTCAGAATAAAGCTTCGTTTGTGCATTCTTGAATGAAACATCTACCGGCGGTTGCTCTATATTGGAGAGGCACGCGCATCTCCTGCACTAGTCTGTATTTTATCGGGTTTTTTCTGTTAGCGGTTTGGGGTCGCTGAGCGCAGCTAATTTGACAGTGAGCGACCGCTGGAGGGAGAGAAGCTGATTGGACGATTGGGTTTTGTTGTGGGCGTGACCAGAGCTAAGCCCCACCCCAGCCCACCCTCTCTCTCTCTCTCTCTCTCTCTCTCTCTCTCCCCTGAGCTCATGAGGGGGCATCAGCAGCAGCAGCAGCAGGCAGGCGAAGAAGGGACTGGGGCTGAAATCTGATCCCTCCTCTTTTTTTACCCCCCTTTCCCTCTCTCTCTAAACTGTTAGTGGCAGCCCGTGGCAGGCTTTCACACAGCGCCAGACGCGAGCGCGCGGAGGTCGGAGCTCTGTTTCTCTCACTCTCCCCACCTCTCTCTCTCTCTGTCTCTCTCACACACACACACCTCCCCGCGGCGGAGCCCCCTGAGTCCAGGTCCCAGCAAGGAGACATCTGGCTCGAACTTCTGGGCTTTTCTAACGTTACCGTTTACTTGGACGAGTTGGGCTGCTAGTAAATGAGGCTTTCTGTTCAACACGAACAGCAGGCGAGCGCGCGCCAGCCAGGGCGAGGAACGAAGAAACTGGGCTCGCGAAGAACTCAACTTTGTTGGATTTGCCCCGTCTGGATGAACTGAAGCAGTGAGTGAGTGAACGGAGCCCGGTGGACTAACTTAATCTGCCTGAGCTCCACACAGCTGAGAGCGGAGGAACGATTTATGGTGTAATTTGTGCTACCTGCGGAAAGGATTACTGACAACACGGGAGACTTTGGGTGATTATTATTATTATTATTATTATTATTATTATTGTTGTTGTTGTTGTTGTTGTTGTTCCTGCTGGTGCTGTTGGTCTTGTTTATTGACTGCAAAATTGTCAGTAGCAACCATGTGCCTTTTTGCCGTTTCCTTGTCGTAGCTTTAGACAGGTCTGGTGAGTTTTAGGCTGCGTCCAAAATCGAACCCTGTCGCACTTAAGAGTGTGCCTCTATTAATAGAACGTTTAAAGAATAATACGTATATTCGAGTACGCACAGAATGTTACAGTGTGTGGATTTGGACGCAGCCTCGTTCCGCCCCATTCAGTCAAAGCTTGAGCGACGGTTATCGCGGCTCAGACTCGATTTCGCAGAGAGCACCTGAGCTCCTCCACTAAGGCTCTTGTTAAGCTGTTCAGATGTTCAGCGACGTTTTTAGAATAATAAAAAGAAAAACTAACCAGTCTTCGGTGTGGGAAGCTGAACGAGACGCTATCCATTGCTTACCTGGGGCTGTACGAAGCGTGTTAACAGGCTAATGAGTGGTAAAGTCTCACAGGCTAATTCATTAGCTTAATGCTCCCTACTGAACCACAGGAACAAGTTCACAATCCACAACAGACCTTTAGCCGCGGGGCGTCTGCTATTCCTGTGGCGCGGTGTTGTTGTGTGGCGTTTTCCTAAAATAGTTTCAAAAATAAGCGCCAAAAGGGGCTGCTACACTACTACATATTCCTTCAGAAGTCACTCGAGAAGGGCTGTGTATTTTTGGCCCGTGTAGTGGGTCCGTTTCTGCGCTACTGTATATAGGCGCTGGACATCTGAAACCAATTGTGCACATCAGAGTCAGTTAACGTCTCCCCAGGTGTTAACGGGGGGCTACCGGGGGTAATTAGGCACCACCACTGAAGTAGCTCTCGTTCAGGACCGTGTCCCTCATGCTTCATACAGGCAGCCTCAGCCAGCATATACAGTGGTGGAATCTCCTCTGGAGCAGAGTGAGCTTATTTTAAACTTGCAGGCAAATATAATGATGCTGGTTTGACGTAGATGGTCAAATAGTGGCTCGTATCTCTTGAAACATACAGTAGCAAACGCAATTAAGAGCAAGATTGCCCTCAGAGACACCTGGAGCATTTTTCAGAGCCTGGTTTATCCAGGTGTTGAGCTAAATTATGCCATTAGATTGGGAGTCTCAACTGAATAGTCTGCAGTCAGGCTCAATCTAGAGTTGGACTTCGGGTGCAGATTTCTCCATCGGACTCATGACATTTCTTCCATGTCCCTAAATGACTTTTTGAAGAAGAAATCTGGGCAAAGGTGCCTGTCTTTCCAGAAGAAACGAGGATTTTATCGACTGGCCCCGCTGACTAACTGTGGCAGCACTTAAAAAGAGCAGCTCCTCGATTGGGCCCGACTCAAGCTCAGTGCGTCACTCAGAGGAGCTCAAACAGCGAAAGCTGTGCAACACCAAACTCAGATCAATCCCATCTCACGCTCGTCCTGTTTTTAATCAGCAGCTCTTCGCGATTTCATTTTGTAAGGATAACAGGCTCAGTAGAGGGCTCCGCCTGGTAGACCTGAAGAGCTGTCTTCACATGCGTCTCCAGAAGCCCTCCAGTGACCTGCTGAAAGGAATGGTTGTTTTTAGAGGCAAACAGCTGTTGTTCCACTTCATTAAAAAAGAGCTTTTTGTCATCTGTGCCACTGTGTTGTTGTGGAGGGGTAGCTGTTGTGACTACATTTTGTCTTCAAGGAATTTTTTTAATATAGCTCGGTGAAAATGGGTTACGGCGTCTACACTACAGCACAGCACACAGGGAGACACAGGAGAGGCTGAGAAAGGATTTCCTTCAAACTGTAATAGAGACATCTCAGACTTTCAGCTTTTCCCCAGCTCTCTTGCACTAATCCCTGCGTTAAATGGCCGGCTTTTTTCAGGCCAGGCCGATTTGGCTTTTTAATTATTACAATTTACAGATTTGTTTTTTTCTGTAAAATGTGTCTAGCGTGCTGCATTGATCTCTCTCTTTCTCTTCATTTGATCTCTCTTTCTTAAAAACAAAAGCCTTAACCATCACTAGATATTTAGTACCCAGACGGGAGCAGTTAAAGTTTGTATACATATTTTAAGTGCCTCGGCCATTACCACAAAATAGTCACAGCTACATAGATGCACAAACATTTCTCTGTGCCAAGCAGCCTAGCGACTCAATCCAGCCTACAGCCTCTGCCTGCTTTAGCCTCAGTATGAGATGTTTTTTGTGCATATTTCCCTTTGATTCGTCTCCCAAGTCAGAGACGCATGGACAGAGAAACAGAGTGAACACAAAAAGCTAAATGTGGTAACTAGCATGTTCATTTACAGGCCGGACCGGTAGGATTCATATTTCGCAGCAGCCAAAATCAATTTCTTTGTAAATTCCATGGATAAATATGGCCTGTTCTGGTTGATTTCCACCGTTCACTGTTGATCAGTTATAATAGCCTGCCCTGTCCGCCACACTCGCTGTGTGTTTAGACTCCAGCATTAACTTTAAACTACATTTAAGCACAGGCAGTGTGTTACCATCTCCCTGTAAGTGACGCTCATTGAGAGGCTGTGTTGAAGACTGAATCCAGCCGCTGAGATTTAGTTCGGCCCTTTTGACCTCTCACCGCGCACGACACTGTTGCGGTGCTTTATATGGGCACTTTGTTTAAAGAAAGTAGTAGCAGTACGTTATACAAGTGTTTTGTCACTTCAGCCTAAAAATGTACATGTGGTAAGAAGTAGTTTAACTGGTTTTAATCAAGTCAAATAAATTCTTTGATTAACGTCTTATACCCTAAGGGTCTGTATGTGGGCCAACACTTCAATTCCTCACTCATATAAACACATAACTAAGTTTCATAGAAGTGGAAAATTAGCCTTGAGATTATTAATGGATAATAAGCAGCCTTAAAATGAATAATTGAATAAAAAGTCTAGAGTCTAAGGGGTTAAAGCAAAATAATAGACAGTAGGGATGTGTTGTATCTTATTGCATTGTAGTGCATCATATCATATTGTATTGTAAGCAGCTTGTGGTTAGGGTGTTAACATGGGGCTAACTTGGGTCACAAAAGCACAGCTTCAGTTTCAGATATTGTCATTTTGTAGTGCTGAATGTTTTAACAAATTGAAAATAGCAACATTAACATATTACTGTAAAGCACATTTTCAGCCACTTCTTATTTGTGCTGCATTGAAAAATGTATTAAATCAAATTCTGAATTTTGTGAATTGTTACACCCCAACAGATAATAGACCTAATAGACCACTTTTGGTTCCCTGGGGAGGTTTTTAATGGACCCATGTCATAGAAAACCTCGTTTTTTAAAATGAAAGAGATTCTAATGTTTCAAATAGGGTATTAACATTAACACATCTCATTTGCAAAAATGGTTCTCTAAAGAACCGTCCATTGAAAAGTTCATTAGGGAACCAAAAGTGGTTCTTCTTTGGCACCACCCAAGTATGCCTTTCTGGCACCTATGGATTTAAGAGTGTAGATAGATAGAAAAATGTACTATATTGATCCCTGTGGGCAAATTTGGGATTCAGATGAACAGAATTCCTATTTTTCATCAAACCAAATCTCACAAACACTTCAAATCAGCTTCTGTCTTGTTTTCTGTTTTTCACAGTGTAGTGAGTTGTGAGTTTGGTGCTATGTCAGTTAGAGCTCCAGTGATTAGTGTGTTACTGTAAGGTACCTCAGGAGCCAGACACACACACACACACACACACATGCTCCAGAAATACACACTGAAGATAGACTCCACAAATACACTCTTCTCTCATACAAATAGACCTGATACACTATCACTCCACAGCGCTGAACACACTGCTGCTCTGCCCAGCCAGAGAAAACACACCGTTACTCAACACGCTACCCCTGTGTGTGTGTGTGTGCGCGTTGGTGAGCAGACTGTCTTGGAGTTAGACCTCTTCTCAGTTTGTGCTGACCAAGAAATGAGTCTGTGCTCATCAGGAGAAAGAAAAACAGCTCCGCGCCAGCCTCAGGAGGGTGTGTGCACGCGCCTCTGTGTATGTATGTGTGTGTCATCTGTGGTCGTCCTTCAAAAATGCCATCATTTAACGTTAATACAAACACTGTGTGTGTGTCTGAATGTGTCTAAGCCAAGGCTGTTCTAAAATAACAGGAGCTAAAGTATAAGACAACACAGAGCTCTCTTATACTCAAAGCAGAAAACCCACTGTGGGGTACAAAATCATACAGCGCATGTGTGCATTTTAGACCACTTTACATTCCTTTTATTGTGACTAATGTAAACTCTCTATGTGGCAAAGCGCAATCTTGCACAGACACATACACACACAGAGGCCGCAGTGTGCGAGGGGAGCGTGTGTTTTCTTTAGAGAGATAAGTGTGTTTGTGTTAGCTCAGCGAAAGACGTGTTTCAGAGCGGTAGGAGAGAGCGAGTGAAGGAGAACAAGAAGACGAGAGAGAGAATGAAGCAACGAAAAGGGAGAGTTTACAACAAATTCAGCAATGTAAACTTGTATTAGACAAATACAACAAAACAATCCCGTTTTATTCAGTCCAGGCAATTATCACCCTGTTTCTCTCAGCACGGTGTACCTAAGCAATTTGCTGAAAGCATGTCAACATCAGCCAGCCAGAACAGCTAACGGTCACTAATAGTGTGTCCCATGAAGAATGACAGCAAACACTTCTTATCGTTTCAGCATGTTTGGAACATTTTAGAGTTTTCACCTCTTAAACTATGCGAGTGTTTGTTTCTCGTTCACTGAGACGTGCTTATGTCTGATGAATATTAAATAGGCTCTCTCTGCTGCTGTGTTTCAGGTGGACAGTCGACCGGGCACACGTGTGCTGTGTGTATGTGAGTGTGTGTGGCTTTACGCAGAGCGTATGTGAGAACGCATGAGAGTGTGTGTTAGCACAATGCGTGGGTGTGTAGAGGATGTGTGAGTGTGGTTGCCGTGGTGAGGACCCTGGGCCCCGCCCCCAGGCCGGGATGATCGCGCTCTGCCTCCTCCTGTACCTCTCCTCCATCATCCCTCCGTTCGTACTCAGTGCCCACCTGCCCTCAGCACAGCCCACAGGTCAGCAATCTCTCTCTCTCGCTCTCTCTCTCTCTCTCTCTCTCTCTCTCTCTCTCTCTCTCTCTCTCTCTTTCTCTCTGTATGTCCCTCTGTCTCTCTCTTCCTATCTCTCTTTCTGAATGTCTCTCTTTCTTTCTCTCTCTCTCTCTATATATCTTTGTAATTATGCATGTAATGTTTTATGTTTATTCTGACAAATGTTGCCTCTTCGTTTTTATGCATATATATAGATTGTCCATCAAAAGTTTGGGGACACCTAGCTTTTCAAAATGTTTCTAAATAAGCATGTTTTCTTGACACATTTGCGGTATATTAACATATTAAATACACCCTTAGGAAATGGTTCTTCAGTAGTTCTTCACTAAAGGCAATGTTCATATATAGAGCTGTGAGCACTCAAAGAATCATCTGAATGCATAAATGGATCTTTGCATGGTTATAACCTGTTGTAAAATTTTAAAACTGGTTCTATATAGCACCGAAAAGTGCTATTGTTACACATTATAGAACCCTTTTTGCTAACAGTGTAGACTGTAAAACATGATACTATTAGACATACAGTTAACTCAAAACTTTAAGACAGCCCTTTTATGTTGAAACAACAAATCTTTTCTACAATGTAGAGCATTTAAGATCTTTCCTATTTTGGGAATAATGCCAAACGTCGCACTTTTTATTCCCTTGTTGTATGTTGCTCATCAGCACTCAGGTATTTAAACCACTTTTGGCCCAAAAGATTTCCAATATCAGCAACAATACTTTGGAAAAAGAAGGAAATGTTTTATTACTATTAGCTCTTTTATGTTAACAGATTCTTTAGAGGGTTTTTGAAAAGTAACAGTAAAAGTGACAAATGTCAAATTAGGGTAAGGTGTCCCAAAACCTTTGATGTGCAGTGTGTTCAAAATGTTCAAAAATTTCAATCTTATGCCAGATTCACGTTCTTTTATATGAGTTACAATGTTATTGACAAGATAAAAACATTGTTTAATACATGCTTTCATCTTTAATGTGAGAGTTTGTCATTTATAGTGGGAATTTTGTCAATTAAGAAACTACATGCTGGAGCAGAGTGTAAGTGTAAGTGGTGTGTGTGTGTGTGTGTGTGTGTGTGTGTGTGTGTGTGGGAGTGGATGAAGAGCAGTGCCAGCAGTCTAGGCACTTTCAGTGAGAGCTTGTAGCTGTTATTGTGTAAGCACAGACTGAGCTGGTGATTTATTTCACAATCCAGAGGCTGATGGATTGGGCGCTGCAGAGTGGATTACATGACAGATAGGGGCGTGAATGTGTGTGTGTGTGTGAGTGTTGTGCTCATGTCATGGCTACAATCAGGGCATGTAATGCATTTTTGCTTTACATTGAATAACATTCACCCACTGAATTGTTCAGTTAACATTGTTTGATGCTTAAGTTGCTCATTACAGTTATCATTCCCAAATCAGGAGCTTTTCACACTAACTGGGATTTGGACTTGTGCATTGACAAACAGGGATGCACTGATATGGGAATTCTGGGCCAACATTCAGTATTTATTGTGTTCATATCTGCCATGCTGATATGTAAACAGTTATAAAATGCATTAGTTTTTGACATAATTCGAAAATGCCTGTTTACATTGTGTAAACTTCATAATGAATGGACACAAGGAAATGACCCAGAATCACTTGGAAAAAAGTCTGGTTCCATTGACTTACATTAAAACTAAAGTGGGTTTTTTCTTCTCCTGTAAAGTTCTCATTTTGGAGATACAAGATTTTGTTCCGACAACAGCGAGATCCATATCCATTCGAATCTAAACATTTGCCCAATGTTAATTTTTTTTAAACCGATACTGATATGATTAAGATATCATTGCACATCCTTATGAAATATGTAAACTACTTAAAGGCTTAAACTACTCCTCTATCTGTCAGGAGCTGTTGGTTCTAGCGTTCAGCGCTGGGACTGTGTGATTTCCTATCTGTAAACTGCAGCGCTGGGGCTGCCGCCTCTTTGTGAAATCCCCGCTTGTGGATTTAATTAAGACGAAGGTTGCTGAAATTTGTTTGTTGAAGATTCTTCTGTTGGATGAATTCCACTCTCTGTCTTTGAGGCCTTTCCGTATATTACAGCCAATAAATATTCAAATGAGAGCGGAGTGTCATGCTTTGCTGGTGCAACTCAAAGGTGCCCGTCTGTGTATGTGCATGTGTGTGTGTGTTCACGGTTGTATGTGGTTAGTTGGGGTGTGTTCACCTCATTAATGCTCTTTGAAATCTCGCTGCAGGTCAGCCAATGAATTATGGATGAACACAGTAACTCTCCCTCTCTGAGCATCATCTACAGCCACCTGTTCACACACACACACACACAGACACACACACACACAGATATACATTGAGTGAGTGATAGACGTGTGAGAGGTGAAGGTTGCTGAAGAACATTTTATGGCATGTTGATTTGGTTGTCTATGTTGCAGTCAGGCGGGATGATGGGAATTTGAGTTTTAATCATTGTTTCATTCGAAAGGAAATGTAGATCATGGTGCCAAGAAATGGGACAGAGGTTTCTGTGTTTTTTCATGTATATTTGTTAGCGTGTGCATGTTTGTTTATGCGTATGTGTATTTGTATGTAGATGTGTCTGTGTTTGTGTGTGTGTGTGTGTGTGTATTTTCAGCACCAACAAAATGTTCCTGACTTTGTAGGACAGTGAAAAACAGTGGAACCTACAATGTCCACGCCAGCAAAACAGTCTTGACTTTGTAGGAAATCGAGTGAAAAACAGGGGGAACTACAAGAGGGAACTTAAAAACTGCACCATTTTTAAACTGAATGGGCTAAACATGAGGTTAAGCTTGGGGTTTTGAGTTAGACTTAGAAAATTCATATTACTTACAGGTAAAGGTGGGCAATATGGCAAAAATATCATATTGAGATACTTCAGGATTTTTTCATGATGCACAGTATGTCCCAATATTTCTTTTTTCAGATATCTGCTCAGCTGAAACAGAGAAAAAAAGAACCAGTATTGTTACATTTCAAAAAATACTATCAAATGGTGAACACAATGATTTTTACTTAATATTCAGCACAAATTCCAGTTAAACGGGACTAATTTTGCTCTCTATATAATTAAACTTGCATTTGGTTAGCGTACCAACGATATCTACAATATGTTCAGAAGAGCATATTGTACTGTATTGTGACAAAATGTATCACGAATATACATATTATATATATACAATTATACATACAATATACAATTACATATTATAATATGTAAAATAATAAACAATGTTAATATGGCAAGTGATTCCAGACTTTGTATGTATGCTAGTGTATGTATGACCATACATCCTGATGTTATAAGAAACAAACACATGTATCAGACTTTTGCTTTGTGTCTGGCTGACTGAAACGTCTCTTGAGGGAAAGTTGTCTCTGTTCTTTTGATAACAAGCAGCTTATCAGTCTCTTATGTAAACCATACTGTCCTTTCTTATGTGATTCTACTTTTGGACATCAGATAAAAAGTGTTTGTTGTGTTTTTTAAGAGCCATGTGTGTGTGCTGTGTGTGTATGAGAGAGAGTGTGTGTGTGTGTTCTTGATTTCCCTCAGCTCTCTTATATTGCTGCTGGCAGTCATGAACAGATGGCCCGTTATGTGCTGTAAGAAATCCAACACACACACACACATACCCCTCCTTAGCCACCCATGAATCGACCCCGCCATCCCCCACCGCACCACACACACACACACACAGCGGTACACAGCGATACTGATGGTGCTGAAGAGCAGGGACACTGTTTAAACGGCAGAGTGGTCAGGAGACATACGTGTTCACTTTCTTCCTGTGATGATTGTGAGACCGTGCAGTTCTGCTGCCCTGTGACCGCCTGTGTTTCAATCTCTGACTACACAGAACGGTTCAGTAAGTTAGTCAGTGCATTAATAATGCATTATAGAGGTGTAATGAGGCTTGTAGTACACAGTAACAGATCCTATTGTGCTCATTAGGGCCGCACTTTGAGGAGATGCTCTCAGAAGCTGAAGCGGTAACACAGTGTCTGAAAAAATCCAGCTGGCCGGCCTAACAGCAGCAAAAAAGTTAGCATTCAGTGTTGGTTGCCCCTTCATCATTGCCTATACATCACTGGCTTTATGCGCTCCTGGAAATCCTTGGTCTGGAACTTTCATTCAGAAGAATTAGCAAAACAGCCCCTAGAACAGACTCTTCACACATGAAATGATGGAAAGTAATGTTCGTCTCGAGTGCTTAACTGTATAATGTGTTTATGTTGTGAAGTGTCCTGTGCTAAATGTGTCCTTGTTTTAGGTTGAATTGTCCCATGTTGGTGTGGGTGGGTGGTGTGAAGGGGGTATTGCTTGTCCTTTCTTTTAATGAAAAATAAAAAAAATCAATGACAAAAGGGAGAGGGGGGCAGGAGTGAGATAGACAGAAAGAGAATGAGTGTGCATGTGTGTGTGTATTTGTGTGTGTGTGTGGGTATCTCAGTGTAGTGAATGTGTGTGTGTGTGAGAGAGAGAAGATGTGTGTGCATGTATGTTTGAGTGTATGTGTGTGTGTGTGTCAGAGCAGCTGTTGCCAGTTGTTTGTGTGTGTCAGAGTCTGTAGGGAAGGGAAGAAGGGGATTAGGAGTGTTCCTGCTTTGAGAGACCCCCCCCCCATTTCTCTCTCTCTCTCTCTTTCTTATCTGAAGGAAAAAGAAGAGCTACTAAACAGAAATCAGCTAACCTGCTGAAATTCTGCGTGACCCTGCTCCATATACTCTCATTACTTGTCTTTTCAAGTTTGTTCTTCTCACAAGTATAAGTACACTTACATTTTCAGTCACACTGTACAAACATTTTGCATGGACTGAGTAATAGCAGCTAAATGCAAGAAAGTAAGTAATTATACTTTCATTAGGACTTTCAGTGTGTATGTGTGTCACTCCCTGTGTGTGTGTGTGTATCTCTCTTACTCCATTTCTCTACCCCCCATCATTCCTTTCAAT